GAGTTCCTTCTGAACAAAGAATGTGTAAGTTCCCCTCTGGCAAAAAAAAAAATATTAGATTCAAAATATGAAGTGTCATTATTTCATGACTCTTAATTCACAAAATCAATCTTATTGATTATTTATATTACACAGAAGTGATCTAAAGGGACCATAAGTCTGATTCTTGTTTCTTGTGTATTTTTCCTGGTTTTGATTCAAGAGCTAACAGTTTATGATCTGTTTTCATGTACACTGGCATATAGATAGGCTCTGTGTAAGTGCAGAGCTGAATAAAATAAATCCAGTCATTGCACAGAACAGCCTGGAGCTATGAGAAACTTTAATCTGTAACAAAGATACAAAGAAAATCACATCAAAGAACATAAATACTACAGAAATGGAATATCATGCTGGTGTCCACAATGCTCTGATTGAAAAGCCACAAACAGAATTACACATACAAATTAGAAGACAGTGTCACAACTTCCTGGCTTGTAAAATTACATCAATTCCCTTCCACAAAGGGACTTTTTACCAAGTTTATTTTAGCACTAAAAATATGGAGCAATTTGCTGATGTCTAGAATAATGAGTAAAACTCAAACTCTTCTTTTTTTTTTTTGTTGTTGTTGATTCTCAGTTATTCCGGGTAAATCTTAGGTTGTTGAGTTTTTCTTCTTTTTCTTTTTTTTTTTAATTGGGTCATTTCTTGCAAAATTGCAATTTGTTTTTCTACTTACTTAACTTTCTGAAAAATGTTTGAGATTCTGCATGATATAGACAGAGGTTCTGAGGATACTGGAGTTTCCTGTTTCTTCTCTTCATCTCTACTATGTTCTCATTGTGGCCTTCATGAGTATTTGAGGGTTTAAATACATTTTACTTTTCACAGTATTAAAAATAATGTTGCAGTAATTAAGTAAACTTATTTTTACTCTTAATTCCTAAGGAAGTAAGTCTGCAATTGCCTGTATTCTGTCTGTACTTCAACCTGTCATGTTCTGTTTCCAAATAACTTTAATTCCTGAACTTTTATCATCAGCTCTGAAACAGAAATAGAAATCTGAAAGACTTCTGCATTTTTTTATGAACGACAGAAGCTTTCATGATAGAGACCCCAACCTAGTGATCTCACTAAAGCAAATATAGCAAAAGACCATTTCCACCATGTAGCAGCAGCTGGTGAGCCAGACACCACTTGGTCACTAGTTTTAGGGATATAGCTATAACAATCTTTGGCCTGTTTGAGGAGTTGGAAGTATTTTATGAGTAAGGAAATAAATGGGTGAAAGGATACAAATCCATAGGAATAAAGACTTCATTAATTTTGCTGCTCCCTAAGCTGCTTTTTTTTTTTTTTTTTTTTTTTTTTTTTAAAGTAGTGGTTGCCATATGGTCCAACTGTCTCCTGTTTTAAATTCTGTCATGCTTTTTGTTAGCTATCACATAGCTATGGTTATTACTGGCACTGAACTGAATTAAAACCTTGGAACTCTTGACTTTGGACCTCGCTAGGTCTGGAATTGTGAAAGAAAACAAGTCAACATCATATGACTGACCAGAGCTCCATGGGCAAATGTTGCATGGAATAGCTGGAGAACCTTCTGAACACATGTGCTAAAATAATAGTATTTGGCATAGTGCATGGTGACAATGCAAGTGACTAATTTACATGGTGGCTAAGCACTTCCTTTTTAAGTGCTGCTTTTCTTTTAAATGTACTCTGTGTTGTTCTTTCTATCTGAATTTTGTCTGAGTCTAAAACTGTGCACATTTCAAACACAATTTTTTTTCCTAGCTTGGCTAGTCACACCACAAACCATCAAATGAAAGATCAGATGAGGAGAGAGACTATTCATCTTTGCAGAGCTAAAAAATTTGCACCTTGGCAGTGACACAAGAATTATTTTTTCTCCCATTAATTTCCATGCAGATGTTATAAATTATAGCCTTTCTTGACCACTCCTCAGCTTCCATTTCCTCAGCTTTCTTATCCATAAGAAAAATGGAATCTAACTATTAAAAAATTTATTAATTGTTTGTGTTGGGGAGGGTTTGGTAAAAATTCTGTTCATGCAAGAATTGCAAGAAGGATCTGTACAATACCTAAGAGGAAAGATGTGAAAAAAATAAATCATAAACTGGAGGCTTTCCACATAGGGAAACTCTGTAGAGAACTCTGATTTTTATATTCAATATTTGAACAACAGTTACTAAGATATTTAACAAATGATTTATGCTTCAGTTCCAAATCAGCAGCCTATATAATGATTGTTTTATTTTCATACAGCATAGTACTTCATTTTATACATATACGTTTTTTAAGCGGCTTTCATCAGTTGAGCTTGGAAGATGCACCATTACTGTGTAATCTGTATAATATATATATATTTTTTTTAGCAACTTTGTGAACTTTAGTAGTCTCTTGAGAAATTAGTCATAGCTACTTAACTTTGTCTTCATTTGCTTTTAAATACAGTCTGTTTTGATAGTTGAGCACTAGACATCAGATTACTTTATATTCACTGATACTGAAAAATACATGTGACTGAATGTAAAAATACAATTTAGAAAATGCCCCATTGCCTGGAAGTGCATACAGTTTTCTGTAGGTCAAGAGAGACGGAAGAGAGATCAGGCATAATAATGTTCTTTAAGTGACTAGAGGTACAAGCTGGTACTTTGAGTACCTAGAAATACTTCCCGGTGGTATCTCGGTGTTCCTTGTATTAATTTTTAACTCTTATTTAGATCACTTTCTGTAGACATTGAAATTTTTTATTGATTAAGCAGAAACTTCACTACAGTGTACACTTAATGGATACATATAAAGAGTGCAGATGGCACAGGAGATGGACTTGCCTCCACTGACTGTACAGAGAGATTAGAACTTCTGCTGTGTAGCTCAGTGTTTCCATTTGGTGAATTGAGTGGGAGCTTACTAGAGTTTTTGTATATTGTGGATGTTTTGTTTGGTTTTGTTTTTTTCCATACCGCATCTATTTGTAAAGGAGAGAAACTATGTTCATGCAACACTGTCTTTGAGGTCACCCTCATCTTTTTCTGCTGTTGAGTTACCATCGTTACTTACACCCTTTTCCACGGCTCAGGCTTGTCCTCTTTGGCAGAAGCCCTAACCATGTTGTACAGTCTATTCAGAAGCCCCTTAATTCTCTTATAGAAATTCTTGGCTACAATTTTATCTGCAGAGATCAGAGCTCTTACAGCAAGATGCAGAGTTTCTTACCAGAAAATCTTCCACATCTTCTATTATCCAACGTTCATCTCGGGGGAAAAAGAAGCAGGGATGGGGAGAAAAAGAAAAGAAGTCAAAGAGAAAGAGCTACAAAGTCCTAGCCTAGAGAAATGACAAGGGGGAACACTGGTCTGACTCAGGATTTCATTCCAAGTGCTTTGGTCCAGGTAGGATTCACAACATGAGGTCTACTCAGAGCAGATGCCTGAACAGGAGGAACTTTTTGTGCAATTGCTGATTGGAGTGAGTACTGATTAGAGTACTTGTTTAGAAAGTGGGAAACACAGTTAATTTTTTTGGACTGAGGAAAACTGTTCCTTCTAAGAGAATGCCTATGAGACTTGAGAGCAAACCTGGGATGGAGCTTGTCTCTAGCTCATGTTGAAACTGGATGGCAGTTCAGAAGAAAATGCAAGACTTAGAAAAAGTGAATACTCAGCAAGAAGTATATATGTTGTTTGTTTAGTAATGTTAATTGCATTTTCCATTGAGCAGTCTATTGACAATATATATTTTACTCTATAACTCTTCAGTGGCGAATACAGAAATATTCACTCAAGCTGGGCTGTGTATAGGCAAAAAATCTGTTGGTCTGAGTTAGAAACCAGTTCATCCATTTATTGGAAATTTTTTGCTAAGTTAATACCCTAGTGATATATTCCTGAATGAACTCCATGCTAGCCAAAAGAATTACTGATGTTTTGAACACAGTTTCTATCTACATCTTCACATATACACTTACATGTTACATCTGCACTAAATATGGCAATAGCTGAGATATCTGAGTTGGCTTTGAACAGACTAATTCAGGTACTGGAAGCTAGCACAGAGCTTCATGTGAGCTGAATTATCCCATTGAGAATCTGAAAAGCCTGGTTAATTAGCTTCCTTGCCTGTCAGTCACTTGTTTCCATCTATTTTCTCACTTCAGCTAGTTCAGTCATAAAACTGTAATCTGTTTTTCTGTGGCTGTGAAAATGATACTCATAATTTACTCCTCCATCTCCCTATCACAGTATACTTTTTATTATTTTGATTGGTTACATTTCTGAAGTTTTGTTTTAAATAATCTATAACTTTATGAAACTGGACAGTACATTTACTAAGTTTGTGTTCGGCTTTTCAACAATGATCTGTACATAGAGATTATGACAGCACACCGTTGATTTCAGTTCAAATCAGTGTTCATTTTGTTACTAAACTTTCCCACTGTATGTCTGAGAATTTTCTATGCCCAGCAATCTTTATTTTCAGGTATTTGTTCTCATTTCATAATTTAATTTCAAAAACCAGTGGTGATTGCCAGTTGGAACACCCTATCCCTGCACTGTAATCTCTCATGCATGATCTTTGTTCACTGATCCATGTCTGCTAAGAATACTGTGATATTGCTGACATCAAAGCAGAATCAAGCAGTTGTGATTTACAAATAAAATATATTTTGAGTTCAAATGTTTTTCTGTACACCACCATTGCTTATGGTTTTTTAAATTATTGGCTGTTGTGAAATGTTTCATTTAAACTATTCCTTATCCCTCTACTTCATAAAATAGGTTCTTTGGAGAAAGTGAGAAATTGATTCTTTTCTCCTTGTTTTTACATTTATGTATTTTGGAAAATTTTAAGAACTCAGATGTTGCTTTTAGAAACATTATAATGCCATGATCTTAAAGTTTTATTTTGGAAAGAAAAAAAAGTTTTATCAAACTGAAAACATCAATCCTTTTTGTGGCAAAGGTTTCTGCTTTTAGCTTTTTGAAAGCATGAGAGGTGAGATGTCAGATGTGTCACAGATGGAGGAACAGGTATTGCCTGTAATGATGTTATAATTTATGAGGAAAATAAATGCATTTCTTTAAAACTCTCATTTTAGAGTGTGCATTTATAAAAGGAGCATTAAAACTTCTTGTATTTTTTGTGAATAAAATTTATTCCTCAAGGAGATGGATTTCTGTTAATAGGACAATTTATCCTTTTTCTCTGAACCAGTGTAGCATACTTTCCAACTTTTTTTCTGATATCTCTGGTTCTTTTGCTACTGACAGTCCACAAAGGATTGTCTGGTCCATAGGTACACCAACCATGAATGTTCACTGTGGAAATCTATCATAAACTTCATGATTAAATTAACTGTGGAGAATTAATGGAATTTTAGTTGCCTTTTTTCCACCTTCCCTTCCAGACCACAAGCACTAGGACATTATGTAGTACTTGTAATCCAGACTATATGATATAGTAGGACCTTACAGATAGAGACCACTTCTGATCAGCAACTTTGATTCCCTTTCAATATTATCTTTTTTTTTATTGAATTCAGAATTGGTTTCATTACTCTACTGAATTTCTACTGCGCTGAGTGAGCTAGGATGGTTAAATGTGTCTCTTTTTGCAGTAATAAAGTGGGGACAGGTAAAAATGCTAGTATCACCCCACAGTATTCTGCCCTTTTTGAAGTTCAAGCACAAGAGAGGTCTGCCTGTCTTATCATCATAGAATTATAGAATGGTACAGGCTGGAAGGGGCTTTAAAGATCATCTAGTTCCACCCCCCCTGCCATGCGCAGAGACACCTTCCACTAGACCAGGTTGCTCAAAACCTCCTCCAACCTGACCTTAAACACTTCCAGGGAGGGGGCATCCACAGCTTCTCTGGGCAACCTGTTCCAGTGTCTGACCACCATCACAGTCAACAATTTCCTCCTAATATCTAATCTAAATTTATCCTTGTCCAGTATAAAGTCATTACCCCTCATCCTATCACTACCTGCCCTTGTAAAAAGTCCCTCCCCAGCCTTCCCATAGCCCCTCTTCAGGAACTGGAAGGCCTCTAGAAGGTCTCTCAATAGTCTTCTCTTCTACAGGCTGAACAGCCCCAACTCTTTCAGCCTGTCCTCATAGGAGAAGTGCTCCAGGCCTCTGATCATCCTTGTGGCCCTCTTCTGGACTCATTCCAGTAGGTCCATGTCCTTCTTCTGCTGGGGACCCAAGAACTGGATGCAGTACTGCAGGTGGGGTCTCAGGAGAGCAGAGTAGATGGGCAGAATCACCTGCCTCGACCTGCTGGCCATGCTTCTGTTGATGCAGCCCAGAATACAGTTGGGCTTCTGGGCTGTGAGTGTGCATTGCTGGCTCATGTTGAGCTTCTCATCCACCAATACTCCTGAGTCTTTCTCCTCAGGGCTGCTCCCAATCCCTTTTCTGCCCAGCCTCTATATGTGCTTGGGAATGCCCCACACAGGTGCAGGATCTTGCACTTGGCCTTGTTGAACTTCATGAGGTTTGCACAGGCCCACCTCTCAAGCCTGTCAAGGTCCCTCTGGATGGCATCATGTCCCTCCAGCGTGTCAGCCACACCACACAGATTAGAGTCGTCGGCAAACTTGCTGAGGGTGCACTCAATCCCACTGTCCATGTCTCCAACAAAGATGTTAAACAGCTCTCCTCTTTTTACTTCCTCTGAAATGTCCCAGACAGATAATAAATAAAACTGGATTCTGTAAGTGAACTTACTTCTCATGTTCATGTGTTGTTGTGTACACTGAATATCTGATGCTGTAAGTTTAACCCTACATTTTATAGATTAAGTTTTTTAGTTTAGGCAGATGCAGTGTTTCAGTAGTAGTAAAAGTATATTCTAGTAGAGAGATGTCAGATCTCACTACTTAAACGTTGCTTCCCATCACCAAGGTTAATATTTATAGCTGACTGAGAGATAGTAATGGGTCAGGGTGAGACAAAATGCAAATCAGGCTGTTGATGTAGGTGATTCTTTTCACAGAAAGAAAATTAAGAAAATGTCTTACCAAAAAAGTGTGGCAATAACATGGCTTCCTATGTTCTTAGGCACCATAGCTATTGTTTTACATCAGGACATCATGATCCCACCTAATTAATACTCAGCTGTGGGCATATAACGTGAGCTGAATTCCTTTTTCAGAAAATGTTTACCTCATTGAATAGGCAAACATATTGTTCATTGTTGTTCTCATTTAATCCTAAATGAAAATGTGGTTATTGCTTGGGATTTTGCCACTGATTGTGAAAGCTTTTGGAAAGGTCAACCTTTGCTAGAAATCAAACACAATCAAAATATATAACTGCAGTAATTTTTCATTTCAGGTTGGGACTGTGGTCTGTTAATTTATTTATATAAATTCCTTGACACTTTTTTTTTTTTTTTTAACCCCCTAGATATTGGCAAATGTAATAATTTTTATCTGCGGAAACTTGGCAGGAGCATACCACAAACACCTCATGGAACTTGCACTGCAACAGACGTATCAGGACACATGCAACTGCATCAAATCCCGTATCAAGTTAGAATTTGAGAAGAGGCAACAGGTAAAGTCACACCCATATTTTGCTGTTTTCACACTATCTCTCTATTCATCACTATATAATTCAGTTTGCTAATGCAAAACCACTTATTGAATTACTGATAGTTACTTAATGAAACATGGAAAGTCTTTTGAACAGGGTGGTGCACAGTTTCCATATGCATATAAGGTATTATAATTATTTGTTTTGTAAAATACATGTTTTCTTTAATTTGTTCTATGAAAATATTTTATGATAAAGAAAGTTGAAAATGCTATATAGAATGTTTTTGCGTACTATTTTGCTGTCCTCATGGAATGAGCTATGAGGTAGAGAGGTGCACTTTGGGAACTGTCAGTTCTTCATGCCCAAGACCAATACTGCAAAATCACTGAGAAGATATCACTGTACTGTTTTTGAAAAATGTTTGACACTATGATACTGATGAATCACGTGATATAGTTTTAGGGGTCACGTATGTTAAGAGGAGCTAGGGGAATTGCATAATGAGACTATCTGTCATTTATTGTAGCAGCTGAATAAAAGGCTTCTCTGACTGCTTTATATAGTTCTTTTTCTCTTTGCAAATCCTGTACAGTGCCTATCATCCTGACAGATAGGTGCTTCATTTGAGAGAATTTGAAATACAAATTAGTTCATCAAGTAGTAAAGAAGATAGATGTATTTTGCTTTGAAGGTCACCAGACTCAAACTTCTATGAACTGTTAGGAGTCAGAGAATAGAGCCTTCACTGACACATTTCTGTTGTCAAAAAAGGTGCATGGAGATGTACACCTCCTATGTCTCAGCTGACCTTAACTGTCATGTCTGTTTTACAAATATCTGGCATCATTTTAAATGACGGTTTACAAGATCCATCACCAACACTTTTTTTTGCAGAAAAAGCAAACTTTAACAGGTGATGTGTGTTCAGAAGGCTAGCCTTACTCTGCTGGGCACTTGAGTTGCATACTGGCTGAAGATGCTGCAGAACCTTTAAGGTAGTCTTAAGGAGAACATTTTACATTAAAGGCAGACTTTGACGATTAGGTGCTAAATCTGTGTAAGGTACTATTGCAGGCGAGGTTGTGTAAGAGCAGTCATAGTTTATACGTTTCTACTTCTGCCTCAATGAGCTGTGTGCTGTGAATTAGTAGACATTGTATCTGATAGTACACAATGCACATTTTACTATCTGTTGAGAATATAGGTGAGAGTATCTCCAAATTAGTTCCAGTGAGACAGCTTTTGAGTGCAGAGCAACCAATGCTAAGTATCTGGGAGCATTAGTACTCCAGATTTGACAGTTTCTAATGATGTGGGTCTGACGTGATGGCTTCTAGGCTCATAGTGACTTTGTAGAAGATGGTGAACACTGTTCTCTGTGCTTATACCTCAGCTGCCAGAAGGATGTATGCACACCATAATCAAAGAGCGTAATTCATAGCAAACATCAAGGTCTCCCTTATTCAGGAGAGACCAGAGCTCTTAGCTTCCTGGGCACAGTTGTAAGGACCCAGATTTCTACCACTGGTTGCTTTTTCCTACAGGCATAGGAAATGCATTGGTGTATCTACCAGAATCAGGAGGGTGTGTTTCTGGACACTGTCAGTAGTTGAACTCAAAGGGGTAAGGATGCTGCTTGTAGAAGTCAGTAGTTAGAAAAGACATAGTGCTAGCTGGTGGTTTCCGTAAATGTGTATTATTAGCTAAACACTACTAATTTCTATGGAAAAACATAAGTAACTTTTGTTTCCTGGTACTTCTGAAGATCTTGCAAAAATGGTTGAGAACCTTACAATAGATAGAAGCAAAAATATCTGGAATTCTGTGCCAGATGCTTCCTCTTTGTGGTTTGTTAAGAGTTGTGTTTCTAATATGCTGGAACCCAGCAAACTGGAAAGCAGCAACAACTATCTTTCATTAATAAATTGTAGTGGTGTTATAATGAACGACATTTTATGTAATTTGTTACATATCTCTCTCTAGATATATAAGTATGTGTTGTCATGTTTAAGTTTAAATAGAAATAAATATATCAAATTAGTTAAGATGTCTGCACATCTCTAAGTAGTATATTTTAGGTCTGGATTAATAACAGATGGATCAATATCGCATTGAATGGAAGCAAGTGAAGTGTTCTGTGAATGTTAATGATCTTTTTGACCTCTGATGAACAATTAGGTCATCAGATCTTCTTATGTAGATTTATTTAGCCTTTATCCTCTCAATTCCATAATATGTCCTTGTGTCACAGTTTTTCCAACCAAAAAGACAAGGAGGTGCACATCTTTATTATCACAGTTATAAATGCTAGATATTTAAATGTGAAAAGGTAAATGAGGATTAATTTGATAAGTTGTTGGTTTTGGTTTGGTTTTGTTTTATTTTTATCTTTGGTTTTCTTTTTCCCCAGGGTTAACATACTTCTTTATTTCCAAACTTTAGTTCAGAAATGGATGTTCTTTAGTCTGTTTTTTAATACTGCTTGTTTTGACGAGAAGATACAGAAGATCATCCACATTGTTAGTATTCAGGGAGCAAGTCAGTCAAATTGCTGGCTATTTTTAGAAGATTGGGATACATTGAAACAGGAGGAGCAGGTGCATTTTAAAAAACATAGAGTTTGATCAAAGCCTTTATTAGCCTGTGAAAGGTTGTAGCATGACCCTTGATTCTACATCTCTTTAACAAGAAAAATTTAATTTACTTCAGTGAGAAGTAACACAAGCTACTTTTATACAAGTGCAGAGTGTAGGATGTGCTTCTAAATGCTTAAGAGCTCTAGATCAAATTTGCAAATTTGTCCAGGTCATGGACATAATGTATTTTATAATTGTTTATGAAAGTGGTACGATTTATGTTCCAAACTATTCCATGGATTTCTTCTTATTTTGTTTAAGAGTAGGCTCATAAAAATGTAGCCAGTTGTTTTGCAGTTGGGGTTTTTTTGTGTGTCTTTGAATAGCTCTTTGAATAGCCTTTTTGAGAATATAATTTTGATTGTATCAATTGCTAAGTATATTGAATTGCCACTCAGTAATTATGCCAGAGAACTCAAGAGAAACACCAAATTCATTGTTTTCAACTGAGACCAGTGTACATTAGTATCTGGTGAAATAGGGGTGTGCGTATATATACAGAGGTACAAGTTAGACATATTGTAACCAAACCACTATGTATTTCTGTTAGGGCATGACAAAGGCTGGCTGCTCCCAAAGGGATGGGAAGCCATGGGTGATGACACCTCCCAGCATGGCAGGGACCTCACCAGCTGGATCCTTGTCCCACAGCACAGGGTGAGCTGGGAAAGCCTAGTTGCTGGCAGCCAGAGTTGAGCAAGAGTCCAGAACACCAGCCAAGTTTGTGGTGATGAGGCAGGTCTGAGGGCAAGCCAGGAGGTCAATCCACAGCTCAGGGTCAGGTCCAGCAATTGCTAGGCAGGTTTGACATGAAGCCAGGAAGTCAGTCCATGGGCCAGGACCAACAGGGTCCAGAGCAAGCACCTACAGCACAGCTCAGGCAGAGGCTGAGCTGAAATGGGGCTCCCGGGCCATCGGCAGAGGCTGAGGGCAGAGGCCTAGGTGAGGTTGGTCAAGGCCAGTAAGGCCAGTCGGTGCCCCAAGGGCCTTTACAATTTAATATGATTTATTGCATAGGAGTCATACTTGAGCTTGTATTGGGTTTGCACTGTATAGTTTGTTTGCTTGCAGATGTAGATATGTAGGTGTTTATGAACATTCCAAACCACACCTTTATGAACTGTGGTTTCATAGGGCTGTGTTTGATAATACTGAACACTTTGGATTTTATTTCCATTACTTTGTTGTGAGAGTCACTTTTAAACTCCTGTAGTAAAAGGCAGAATTTTGAATGCCCACCTTGGTGTTTCTCACACAACTTTTCTGTCTTTTCAGTGTATATAAAAGAGAAACGTGAAACTATTCTGACCTCTATTAATTTGCAGCCTTATTTCAAGATCTGTATTTAAAATAGCCTCTCGTAACATTATTTATCTCACTGATACAGCCTGGCTGACAGTTTGTAGAGGTAATGACTCACTAACACTGGGTGCAAGATCTTAATGCTGACAAGCAGTCAGAGTAATTGCTCTTCTCTCTCTCTTCTGCTGCTTTGCATCATGAGACATAAGAATATACACTGAGAAATTCTTACAACATTGTAGGGAGGTGTTTGTAAGGTGTTGGTGTTCCGTGGGTTCTCAAAAATGCTGTCTTTGAAAAGGAGGCAGTATATTGACGGTTTTAGAAACAACGCACAGGTAGCAGATGAAAATGAATGAGATTTCAAATCATTGAGTGGGATTTTAATTTTTTTCACCAAAACATGGTAAAGCAATACCATTCATTACAGGAACTGAAATATTTCAGAAATGTTTTTAAATTAATCTGAAACAGAGAAGCCTCATACATTTGTGAGACTTGAGACTGTGTAGTAAAGAACAGAAACATTTGAAGTATGTTATTTGGTATAAAATGTGGATTCCTGTAAGTTCTTTTAATGCACTTTAAGATGTAAGCTACTAATATTTTTATGAACATAGATTAGTTTTTCTAAGGGCTTCCTCAGTTTCCTCTTTTTTTTTTTTTTTTTTTTTTTTTTTTTTTTTTTTTTTTTTTTTTTTTTCCACATAGCTTCAAGACTAGTAAGCAGGCAAAACAAAAACTAGTTTTGGTCTTTTAAATTTTATGATCCAGGCATGTTTGTACACATACACATGGATGTGGTGCCAGTCCTTTCTATTAATCTACATGTCATTACCAGAAGTAAAGCCTGTTCTGAGGAAGAACTTAAGTGTCCAGTTCTGCATGGTAGACCATGTGGAAGAAGGGTATAGTATACAAACAGAAACTGAAGAGAGTCCACCAAAGGGCTACATGGATAATTAGAGACTGGAGCTTATGACAGATGATGACACTCAGGGAATTTGAGATGTTTAGCCTGCAGAGGAAAAAGCTTGGGGGAGGACATTTAGCAGCTGCCTTCTGCCTGAAGGAGCTTAC